ACTAATCATAGTGAAAATTGTGAAGTTGCCATAAAATATCAAATAGAAATAGAAAAGTAAGGTATAGTATTGTTTTCGAGCAGAACACCGCAGTGATGGCATGAAATCTGTTTGAATGAGATGAGATATACCCCGCAGCGCATGAAAGAGGACATACAGAAAAATTTACAGAATTGGGTAATGTTCATGCACTGTAGAGTTTTTATTATACCCAAAATGTTATTGTCTATATGCAGTCATCGATATTAGTTTAACCTTTAAAGGAAATTGCGCACAGTTGAAACGCTTAATATATACTAAAATAGATACATTTAAATGTTTTATATATATTTATAGGATTATGTATGTATATTTGTAAATATTTGTCATTAAGTACTTCATTTAGTTATACTATTTAGTTATCTAATTAATGTGATAGTACATTTTGCACATCATGACCTAACTGCAACCACATTTACCTAGGCATGCCTTCTAATCGCTATTTTAATAGTTAAAATAGTAAAAATAGTCAAAATTCAGTAATAATTCTCACTGAAAAACAATTTTAATATAGATGAGTTTATATAGTTTCGGATGTGAGCTGTGCTTATAATAGGAACAAGTTTCGAGATTATATTTTCGTCAACGACCCGTTCAAACGATTGCCATCGAATTTACTTCGTTTTTCAGAATGCCCAAATTGAGATTTCATTGTGGCTAGGACTATAGGTAGTCATACATAACTAATTAAATATACACACATGCATTCTCCTATATACACACAAATGTATACGTAACAACATTCCTATACACAACTGAATCGAAAATCCGGTTATGTACAAAGCTGCACAAAGAAAATAAATTGAGGAAAACATTAAATTTAATGTAAGCTAAAAAGAATGCTAAAAAAAATAAAGTGAGTTGTTGATGAAGACATTATTATTAACGAGTGAGAATTCGATGCCAATAACCGCATCAAATTTAAAGCCACATTGTTGTTTTAATTTTTATATGTGCGAGTGCTATGTGCTATGTGCTATGTGGCAGACCGTTCCGAACTTGCTAACTTTATGATAGGGCTTGAGAGTTGAGAGTTATGTGTATCTTGATGTTTTTATGTTTGATTTTATGAAATTATGTTTGCTGTTAAATTGGTTGCATTAGGCAAATCGAAATTGACTAAAAATTTAACGTTTTAATGTGACGATCCAGTAGTTCTTAAAATATTCGTAAGATAAACAGATTATTAGATTATTTATTTGAACTAAAATTAAATTATTCTCACAAAGAGCACTCAAAGCAAAGATTACTTATTGAAAGATTGGCAACAATTAAAACTTATCTATTGTTTTTAAGTTGCAGTCCAAGAGAACTCTTGCAATCAGGGTTTTACTAGTTGCTTTTCTTTCAAACTAAAATGTATTCGTAATTCAGCTATGTATGAGCTCACACGAAGCAATGTTGAATTTGCAGCAAATGATGCTTGTAATTCGTTAGTAGCAGCTACGACCAATGTAAATATTTACTATTTATTTAAAAAAGCTGTTCAAACTATGCTGCCGCACAAAAACTCGCTGCAGTTGAAGTTCAGAAGCTGCCAGTATACAAATAAGGATGAGGCAAGCAAACAATTGCTCATCCGCTTGTAAATATCAATATGAATGCCTCTAAATCGGGGAATATTTCTTTTTGCTGTTCTTACGCAAACTACATATATTAATAATATGCAATAATACAACGATTTAATAAATAAAATCTGTTAACAACATTTAACGTAACATATTTCTGCAGGTAAGAACTTTTGATTTCTGCACTTGTCATTGCTTTCAGAATTTCGTACATCATGCTCTACCGTATTGATAAGTAAACAATCGATTAATTATCTATTTCGAATAAATATCGGATTTTTATCTGGTTAAATTTTTCTAATTCTTTCCATTTCAGATAAATACGATACTTTTATTTTCGTTTAACTGCAGATTTTATGGAGTGAAATGATTTAAAACATTATTTACTATATATAATTGAATAATTCAATATAATTAGATGGTGCGCTCTTTTTGTTAACATTGCAAATCTTTACACACTGTTATATTCTATAAATATTTAAGCATAACAAAAAGCCTTTCTAATTTATTTACCATTTTTGTTACTATTCCCGACCACTTGGGCTCAATTTTAGAACTCTATAACCCATTTTTGATATTCTCATTTAGCACTTTGCTAATTTTCGGTAATGGTTTTGTGAAATTGATACTGGTTTTTTGATACTTTATTTTTAGTGCAATTAGCTGGCACTTTTACTGGTTTCTGACGCTGTGTTTTTAATTAATGACTTCCTGGATTGGTGAAAATTACTTTTTTATTGATATGAATTTAAATTAGTGTAGTCATTAATATGC